GCAAAATATGGCAGTACATGAGGAACCAGAAATGCTCTTCTTTAACAGCACTTCCCTGTTTCCTGTATTTTGGGCTTAACCTTACTTTTGGCTGCTTGCCAGAGTTTATTCCACTACAGTAGAATTTCACATTACTTCCAAGAAGGTCTACTGAATATAAACACTTAACTCTATTACCCAATCACATACAATTGAGCTTCTATGCAGAGAATAATCTTAAGCAGGTCTACTTAGTGAGGCCCATTTTATTCAATGCAACTTACTCCCAGGAACATGTTCACAGGATTGCACTGCCAGTCACCTATATGAACAGAAGTAGCTCTTGTGGTTTCTGGCTTAACAACTGTAAGCAAAGTGTGCTGAATTCTGTTTTTAGAATGCAAGACAGTTATTACCAGCAAAGGAACAGGTATAACTTCAAAATAGTCACATAGTAAGCAATGTTGCATGATCTCCAATGATTTGTTCTTGATTTCAATACTAATGTACAAGTTGCATTAGTATCATTCAACATTATAGCAGAGCTTCTCTCTTTTTCTTAGAACACTGTTCAATGGAAGCAGTAGCATTACAGTAAATGTATAAACCCGATATTTTTAACTTAAACCAAACGTGACAGTTTAGTGCTGAAAAGGTGATTCACATGCTACAATTACAGTACATTTTCAGACACCCTACATTTATTCAGCTAAAGCCTATTTTCCAGTGGAAGAATCACTCTAAAGAGCTAAATAGTTTTCCAGATCTATATTTATAAATGGTTAACAAAGGGTATATAGTCAGAAAAATGGTATTCACTGCTTATTTTTAAAACTACAAGTTTTAAAAGTGTAAGGCAAAGCACCAAAGCAAAGTGTAAGGCAAAGCCTTCTTATACTCATACTCATTTGTAAGAGTTTAAGATCAAATTTAAATACAAAGGTTTTCAGCATTCAATTATAGTACTCTATTATTTCAAATGCGCCTATAAAACAGCAGAGTAATATATACCATTTAATTACAGACATCTATTTTAACTATATTAAATGAACTGATATAATTATTCTCTTGATTTAGCAGTGTTTACAACTTGTATGTCAGTAGCTGAACAAAAGAGGGTGCGTGTAGGACACAACTCTAACAAATGTGGGAGTGTCATGGAAGAACACACAAAGGGTGTTATAGTTGGCTTCCATAGTCAACTATTGTTATAGCAAAAAAAAAGCTGTACAATCCACATCTGTGCCAATGGATCCCTATTAACACTATCCAACATACTTCCCCCATAAAGGTAGTGACTGAATTCTCTTTATTTTTGAATTAAAGTTGGATGATTAAATCATCAGTTTTAACCATTTTAAATAGTTACTACATCCATTGATTAATATTCTAGTCTTAGCAACAACAAATGAACTGTAGCAAATTGCAGGGAATTAATTTTATGTTTGAGTTTAAGCGACATGAAAAATTATTCAGCCAGCACTCTTAGTGTAACCCATTCATCAGTTTTCCATATGCTGACCTGTTTTAGCAGCATCTGGTACTTTATTACCAAGCTGAAACATAGCTATTGTACCATGTCAGAGGAGTTAAAGCCATCATTCTTACCATTTCATTTGTGCTCTTGTTTTCCAACTACAGTATTTTAATCAGCAATAATCAACAATAGCTTGCAGGCAGCTAGAACAGTACTTTGTATCCATAAAATGAATGAATCAAATATCAATAAAGCTATTAATTCTGAAAGTCAAGCTTTTACAATACTTATAGTGTAAACATTTTATAATACAGGACCATCTTAGCACCTTTAAACACTAGTCAGCAATGCATAGGCAGAAAAGTTATTAGAGCCAAGATAGTGGGCCTAATGGCTTGCTCTTATTTCTGCTTGGGAAGCATAATTATTCTTTTAGAGCAACATATGGCAAAATACTTACATCTGCCAGTACAGGATTAAACAGCACCATACCTCAAGGAAGTTAACATTATATTTTAAAATATAAACTATTATACTAAAGGTCATTCACTAACATGATTGAAATTAAGCTTTCGCTCACAATTGGTGTTATGTCCCTAATTTGTACTCAACATTTTGGAATTGTTCCCTTGTGGCATTCATTCAAGGGGCACGATGAGTACATAAACCAGAAAAGAATTACTAGCTCACTATAGTAAATGAAAAGCTAACATATGCAACAGTCTTCAGAAACATATACAGTAAATAAGAAAAACAAGCACTTTTCCCAACAGCAGCACTAATCTAAGAGTCCCCACACCCCACAACATCCAGGTAACAACTGAAAGTAGGATTCTTCCAGAAGTAATTAGAACAGAATGAATGTTGTCCTACAAGACAACCTTTAAACCAAATGGGATGCTTGATGACATAAATGCTGTACTGTTTCACTGGGAAATAAACACAGTTTAAAAGGGTAATAATTATAAACAACAGCTGAACATTCATTCAGAGAAGTAAGCAGCTATATCATACCGACTAAATAGAAAAGAGAGGTTTTTGCTCAGTTCTGGCAGCTGTCACTATCAAATGTTTTGTACACACTGAGATTGTAATTTTATTCTTATTTATTTTATTTAAACCCTGACTTTCTCTCCAGTGGGGGCTCAAGACAGCTTACATAGTTCTTCTCTTCTCCACTTTATCCTCACAACAACCCTGTGAGGTAGGTTAGTCTCAGCCAGTGTGACTGGTGCAAGGTCACTCAATGAGTATTCATGGCAGAGTGAGGATTTAAACCTGGCTCCCCAAATCCTAGTCCAGCACTCTAACCACTATACCAAATGGGATGACATCATATAAATATCTATACAAAAGGGATCCAAGACCTTTTTCCAGTTAGTACTACTTGGTTTGCTATTGCATACTGAATCCAAACCATAGACTGGGCAACATTTATTCTGTGGGGTGCTGATCAATTGATGTGGTGGAGTGACAGAAGCAACCTCTCAGTATTTTACCATTCACCCCACACATCCTTCTTATGACCATATGCAAGGATGGCAGTGATTATTAAAGAGTAATTATTTTTTGAATATCACCATTCAGGCCTAAATATTGATAACCTGTTATTTTCTCCCATGGTTAATACAAGAAGAAGCAGACAACATTCAACACCAAATTGTCTAATTTGTTTTTTTCATGAAAATATTAAGCAGCAACATAAAAACAAGATTTCTGCCATTTGCTGTTCCTGTTATTAGTGCAAGTTCATCAAGTCAATGATCCCACCATTAAAACGTCTGTAGTTTTTGTCTGTGCTACAAACTTTCATTAATTTTATTCATGTTTGGTCATTAGGGCTTACTTACCTCTAGAGAACTCTGGAATTAGAATTTGATAAGTATACCAAGAATTCTGTAAGTGATCCTGAAACCTCACCTTCAGAACTACAGTTCCTTGGACCTTTACAGATCTTAACCTGAAATCTATGCTACCAACTACCAATATGGCAACCCATATATTGCTAGAGGAAAATTATTATCCTTCACACTTAATGGAATGCAATAATAGAGCAGAATCAGCAAGACTGTAATGGCTCAAGAGAAGCCTGTCCCTGATAACACCCATCCCCCTTGGCTTTTAGGCTGCAGAGACTGACTGACAGATGAGTAAACTCTGCTCCTCCTTCTGCACAGAAGAACCAATGGGAAATGAGCACCTCTCCCTTTAAACAGAATGAAGCAGCAAAATTACGTTCGAAGGCATAGTCTAACCCTCTTGCTTGAACAGAAGGAAACAGCATTCTAAATGCCTGAGAGAGGTTTATAGCACACCACAGAATGGTGATCTATATTATAGATATGATTTATATTATTGACTGCACATATTTAATAAGCAATGGCAGTTTCTGCTTTGGGCTGTGTTTCTGTAAAACCAGAAAATACAGAGAATTTCACTGTACTTTGAAGATTATTCTAATTTATAAATTTAGAAGTGATCATTATAGCACCCAAATAAAAAATAGTGTTTATCTTCACAGATCATAATGATATAGGATACAAGGTAAAGTGCACCTGACAATTTATTCAACCAAGGAGGCATTTAACACCAGGACAAGTTCCACTCTACATTAAAATTTCAGAGCTTCTATTTTCCCAGTTTCAGTCATTGCAACTGATCTGCCCTGACATCTTAGATAACAAAACCAGTGAAGGACACTGCAGCTTTAAATATTTCAGGGCTTATGTAGCTAGTAAATAGGCTCCATTGCAATATGGCTGTGAAGGTCGTGTCCTATTGTATCTTTCCTCTAATAACGTACAAAACAGAAGTGTTTTTTCCACAAAATACCTTCTCTCCATTTCTTAATCTTGTTGCTGTCATTATAAATTTCCTTACTGAAAGACACTGATACTAAAGGCTTTCAACACACACCCAAAATGCCTCCTGAATGTATTCGAACCCACACCCTAAATACAGACTGTATTACGATTACACTTCAGCATTTTATTTGCATTCATGTGCCTGGTTTTGCAAACACAATCCTGTTCAACTTCATTTCTTTGCATTAGTAAGTACAGCCCTTTAAAGAAAAAAGGTTTAGCCCTTTAATGCGGAAAAGGTAATTAACTGGATTCCTCAAGTGTCCATGGTTTTAGTCAGCCATTTAGTTTAAGATTTTAAGCCATCTACTTTAATGGATCTACAATGTTGCTATATTATCAAACATTTTAGCAAATCTCTTCCAATCAAAATGTATAATACATAAAGCATACAAGCAGTGGAGAGGGATGTTAAGAGAGAAGCAGCAATTATTCCTTCAACACCAGATTTAAGGGGGAACAAGAATTAAGTCTGCAAACACCATTGGACACAACATATGTGATTAGATGTTTGCCAAGACCAACATGAACGATTTTAGGGAAGATGGGTAACTAATACAGGCAGGAACTGGAATGGCAGGGTGACATTTGGTTTTAGCTAGAACTGAATTACAACACAAATACTGAAGTACGTGCCCATCCCTCCCCTCAACCTTTTGCATTCAATAAAAAGACTTTACCTGAAAAGGCAACAGATTGTTGCCGTTATCTGTCCTGAAGGCGTTGTCTTCTACCCAGGATTTGGGAGTTAGGGGAGCAGCCCTTGGGAACTTCGGTGGAGCAATGACATTGCTGGAGAAGGGCTTTTTCAGAGGTGAAATGGGATTGAGTGGGGATGGTACCCCAACTCCAACCCCCACCCCCACCCCCACACCTACTGCCCTTCGAGGGTCCCTGCCAGCTTGCAGCCCACTCCAAGGATTCGAAGGTGTACTCCAGGCTGCATTTTGGTGGTTATTCCAACTGGAAGGGGAAGAGGTGGAGGCTGAAGAGGAGGAAGGTTTGCTGGTCATGATGGGCTGATGGCTATAAGCGGCATTTCTCTGGGCAAAAGGTGCCTGGTTAGGGCTAACCGGGGATCTCCTCTGCTGCTGCTGGGCTTGCTGCTGCTGTTGGTGCTGAGTCTGAGCTAGGCCGATCTGGGGGGAGAAAGTGCCTCCAAAAACAGGATTGACGTGGTGAGGGAAATTCTGGAAAAGCATTGTCCCATTAACTGGGGTAATCCCTTGGAAAAAGCTATCATCCACTGCATTTGTGGTTCCAGTGGACCAGGTGCTTCCGAAGGAGGGAGACAAGGAGGTGCCGGCTGTAGGTTCCTGCTGCTTAAGCCTGGCAAGATGGGGGACTCCATCTGCATCTTTTCCTTGCTATTTTGGGCAGGAGCTGATGAACCGATGCTAGTCACTGGGTTGCTGTCCTCCCGTTTGGGTGTCTCTGTGGTGATGGGTGTAGAAGGGGCTTCTGCTGCAGTTGGATCTTGCTGCCGCTGCTGCTGGGGCTGGGCTTTGCTTTTGTCCATCAGTAAATCATCCTGCATGGTTTGTGCAGCTGAAACGAGAGGGAAGGAAAAAAACCCCACAAAGACAGACTGTTAACATTCATACAGCTGCTTTCGCCTTCTGCTGCTCGCTAGAATTCTACTGCTAGTATAATACTGCCGCAAGTTGCAAGGCAAATACGTAATCCCCCCCCCCTCCCGAGTAAGCTGTTTGAATCAGTGTGATCGCTCCACGCCGCCTATTAAAATACATTTGAAGATGCTTCACCCTTTTTGATGCCTTGGTCCCCTTCAGTGTAAAAGAAAGATGTGCTTGTAGGGCAGAGATATACACCAATTTCGCCACGTCTCTTTCTTTTACACCGGAACTAAGAGCTCTCGCCCTTCAATGAGAAACTGATTCTGGTTCCTGTTTTTCCGGGCACCCTCCTCCTCCCCTGTTATTTGCATACGTCAATAAATACTGCTGCGTCCTTCAGCAAGGTTAAAAAGACAGCAGCCTTTAACTCTTCCCCACCCCCTTTCCTATGAATAGACTTTTAAAGGCGCCGGCTGCCTATTTTGCTTAATCAACAAACCGGTTCGGTCAAACAGTTGAAAACAGCTCAAAATGACGCTCTCAGAGCCTCAGTCATACGCTCTTCTTCTTAAGCCTCTCCTGTACTAATCACAATGTGCAGTCTTGCCTTAAGCTTTCCCCCTTTTGCCATTCTTTCACGAAAAGCAGCTGTTTCACGCAAACATTTTCCAGTTGTTTATTCCGTGCTCTTTCTAGAGTAATATACATGACATTTAATCATTCAAGAGGGAAAAAATACACTGGGTTAAAATACACCAGCGTCCTGAACCCCGCATAACACTGGCATAAGTATTCAGACACGAACATTTCCCTGTAGGCAACCTACAGAAGCTTTTTCCACACGTAGCCCATACGAGACTAATTAAAATGAAACTGGCAAGATAATCACGAGGTAGCAGACAAAAATAGGGCGAGATAAAAATACGATAATTCACTTGCTCCCAACCAGCAAGAAAGCTATCGGAGGAAGTCTAAGCATATATACAGTTAAATAGGCCAAACAAAAGGCAGTCGTCCCGATAAGACGCTAAACAGAGGCACAAATTAACCAGATTTATTTCAAAAAAGGCTTTTTCCCTAAATATTCAGAATCCAATACCAAATCTCCCTTACACACACAATGGTATGCTTTAAATCACTTTTCCCTGCTTTGCTAACAAAGTAACTAAGATGTTAAAACAGCAGCTGCTTTAAGAGTATTGAGGATTATGAAGATGGCAATTTCCTTTCTCCCATGTACTAAATTCAGAAACGTTCTTCATAAAAATAATATTGGAGTGGGTGTATGCCCTCTACAGCGTTGATTGATGGCAACAATATATCCCAGCAAGGAAGTTTGCTAGGTTATTTTCTAGATAGCTTCTCTGTGCACACGATCTTTAAAATGATGGATTTGGGAGAGTGCATATACAGACAGCACAACGCTAAATTCCTAATCCCAAAAGGAGCAAACTAGCGCATCTGTGGCACGCAGCTCTGCTGCTGCTGCTGCTGTGGCTGCTGGGGGTGGGGGGGGGAGGAGAAACCTTTGAAAGCTGTTTAAAGCAGCACTGCAGTAAACCATACTAGTACCGGCTTTGTGTAGTTTTCCATTAGATGCACTCCCAGCAAAGTCATCGCCACAGTGAGGACAGACCAAACAAATACAAAAGAGACATACAATAAGGAACAACCAAGTAAACTGCTGTCCTCCTTTTTAACAACCCATTTAGGTTTGGACACACCAATATCAACATTAAAACCATTCCTCCAGATTTATTAGGTAGCTGCAACCACTAACTCATCGGGCAATCGCTGTTGGTTTAGATACGTTTGTGAACTTCATTGTGAGACATTACATGTAAATGGTTTTCTGGGTCCCCCCCCCCCCTTTGCTTATACGTAAGATTTCACTACAAATCCCACCCCTCTTGTCAAGGTCAAACTCTACGGAGAAAAACTGAATGTTTGTTTGAAAATCTAGACAGCCATGTATCTGCTACCGGGCTAATATGCGGCGCCTCTTGATCCTCCCCACTCCGGTGTATGTATTTGTTCCAGTCTAAAGTAACATCCCCGCAACAATAATACTTAGTTTGCATGCAGTAACCCACGTAACCAAGGCAGAATTGCTAAGAACAGTTACCTTTTGAGTATTCTGTATTTAAAGATCAATAAAGGGAAGGGACAGTGTGTCTATTTCCTTCTTTCAGGTTTGGTAATATGACAAATAGAGATTGCTCTGGCAAGAGCACTTTGACAACTGTAAACTCAAGGCGCATGTACACCCACGGAATTGTGGGCAATGGAGTCTTTTCTTAAGTAGAGGCAGGCTGGGAAACCAGTGTTTAAAGCACAAGTACAGGCTAAACAAGAGGGAACGACTGTAGCTAGAGGTACATGCAGCTAAAAGCCATTCACTAGCTCTTCAGGAAAGGAAACGAGTCTAACAGGTAGCGTTGGAAGCAAGTGTTGTTATGGGTCTGCTTGATCTTAGTTTACCGATGGATTAAATCACTACAGGTTCTTAGTTTTCTAGCGATTTTACTCATGTAAATCAAACAGAGAATAGTCATGCAAAACAAGTGATTACAATGCCAGTCCTGAAGTACCGAATGGGGTTTCTTTCATTTAAAGGGGTGGGTGTACACACTCGATCTGCCTTGGAGAATCAGGCTCAAAGATCAATCTAACACCGAGCTGTGTCACCACACTGACCAACAATATGCCCCTGGGGAATTTTACAAGCAAAGCATATCTATCTCCTAGCGTTCACCTTCTAATATTAACAAAGATATTCGTTAGTTGCTGTGGATTTTCCGGGTTACGTGGCCATGGTCTTGGCATTGTAGAACCTGACGTTCCGCCAGTAGCTGTGACTTGCATCCTCAGAGGTATAACACAGAAAGATGGAGTACTCAACACAGAGGGTACTCCATCTTTCTGTGTTATACCTCTGAGGATGCCAGTCACAGCCACTGGCGGAACGTTAGGTTCTACAATGCCAAGACCACGGCCACACAACCCAGAAAATCTACAGCAACTAATGAACTCCAGCTGTGAAAGCCTTCGACAACATAAAGATATTCGTCTCAGCATGTAAGTCTGCCTTTTAAAAATCTGTCTTGGTTTTACAACAATTATTTAGACCTCTTTTCTACTTAACCAAGTCCAGATTTGTGGAGTGACAAAAATGGAGGCAGTTCAGATAGGCAATGGCAAGCTGAAAAATGTATAGACAACACAGGGAGTTTCTACATGCATGGTGGTATGCAGAACCCCATGACTTCATAAACTGACCAAAAGAAAAAGAAGCAAACCTCAAAACATAGCTGCATTAGGGCCTCAATATGCTGCACCTTGAGGGCAACTGGGTGTCAGTTAAAGGGGGGGGGAGCAGGAGGAGAAATGAGCTTGCTCATGCCCCTGAGAGCTTAGAGAATCCAAGAGGGGAAAACTTTGGAAGGTGGGGTGGGATTTTCAAATTGCTCCCCTTCCTGTGATTCCTTTTAGCTCATTTTAGTCTTGTTCTTAGGAGACATGTTCCAGATATATTTGGTCAGAGTATGTTAGTGTTAGCATGATTTTCAAAATGCCACACGAAGGTCAAAGTTCCTTTTCTGCCCCCTACAGACTCCACTTCTACCACCCACAGACCAAATGTTATTAACTCAGTATGAGTAACCAATCTTTACTACAAATCACTTTAATTAGCTGTCTCCCTATATTATGATCAATAATGACATTGAATGGTTTTCATAAACCAAGTTATATGGACCTCTGTACATTTCCCCATATTAAATTAGTTATATAAAGAAGGGGATGAAAAGGTAAAGTCTTTTACAAAATTACTGAAGGGACCAATGAGCACTGTCCTTGGGGATGACAAGGCCCTGAGAATTTTATGCTTAAGTAACACAAAGTGCACCGTTCTTATTAAAAATATGCAAGGAGTTATTATGTAAACAACAAAGTTAGGGTTTCGCTATCACAGATCTCCATCATGAGTTCTGGTAACACTCCAATAGCTTAACCTACATGTGTTTATTCAGATACAAGCCCCCTTGAGTTCAGTAGGGCTTTCTTTCAAGTAAACATACATAGGACAGTAGCCTATTTCCCCAGAGGATGTAAGGCCAGAGATTGGGCTATAAGAAAAGAAAATGTAAATGATGCATAAATTAGCAGTAATTAAAATACCAACATAAAGTCAACCAAAAGGAAATATGTTTAACCATATAATTATGATAAACAAGATTTCTTAGTAATACATAAAAAGGACACAAGTATCTAGGTCAGTATATACTAGGCATGAGGAAGTGTTCACAGGTAAGTGAGGCACATCCCAAATACCAAATGAATAGTCTGCATGTATTTCTAATCACGGAGATGGTGTGATATAAAATGGGAATGTGTGAAGTATTTACCATACACATTATTAAAAACTTAACTGGCTGATTAAAGCAATAGAGTGTGATGGTTTTGTAATACAGAGTACAGTTGTGTATTTAGGACCTAAAATATTATTTTTGAAACACGGAGCTTGTAATTTCTGAAAATGTTAGTATTTTTTGAAAAGGAGATGAAATAACTACAACTGTTCGTACTTTTTCCTCCCCTGATCCTTTCATCCATCCTCCTCCCCTTCCTGACACAACAAACAAGACCTCATTTCTCCTGCTGCAGATAGACAGGCTGGGCCAGGCAGCAAGACTAGCAAAGAGCTCATTGCCTCAACACTCTCACGTTACACAGAGTACCTAAGGAGGTACGAGGGAATGTGAGAAAATTCTCAGTTTGCATGCTCCACCTCCTTCAGGTTAAAGTGACTGACTGATTATGCCTTGCCCAAGGTAAAGGTAAAGGTTTCCCTTGCTTGAAAGCCAGTCGAACCCGACTCTAGGGTTGTGGTGCTCATCTCCATTTCCAAGCCAAAGAGCCAGCGCTGTACAAAGACATTTCCGTGGTCATGTGGCCGATGTGACTAAAAGCCGAGGCACACGGAACGCTGTTACCTTCCCACCGAAGCACTACCTATTTGTCTACTTGCAATTTCTTGCTTTCAAACTGCTAAATCCTGGGGTTGGCACTTGCAGAAAGAGGACAACTAAAAGACTTGCGAGGAACAATGAGGATCAGCCATGGCTACCTTCAGAGGTCATTTCGGGGGGGATCGCGGGGGATCACAGTTCCCCCGGGTGAGGTACGGGGGCGGGGCACATGATGAAGCCACGCCCCCTGCTTCCGGCCGCCCCGCTTCTGGCCCTCATTCAGCCAGGAGGAGGCAGGAGAAGAGGGAGGGTAAGTTGCTTCCTCCTTGCCTCTCCCCACCCCTGTCTGCCTGGGGCCAGGGAGGGCTTTTGCGGGGCTTCCTTGCACTCCCACCGGCCTTGCAGGTCCACCGCCGGGCCCCTCATGGGGCTCAGCAGTGGAGCTGCAAGGCCGGCGCTGGCGGCCAGGACCATTGGGGGCGGGGTGTGTGGCCTTATGACACACTTCCGTGATGTCAGGGGGTGTGGCCTTATGACACACTTCCGGTGATGTCAGGGGGTGTGGCATATGCTAATGAGTTATGCTAATGAGTTCCCCTAGCTCTTTTTCTATGAAATGACCCCTGGCTACCTTCCTTTTTACTTAGCTGACAGTGATATTAAAGTTCTACCTGAAATCTCTGTGTTGCAGTGTGGCATCCCTGAATATTAACATACAGATGACACAGTTAATGAGAAAACAAATGAAACAAACAAGCAAGCTTTGAATACTGCAAATCGCCACATATATTAGAATCAATAGCATTATATTACAGCATGTTTTTACCACTCATGTGGTTCCCAGAACTATTACAAAGAAATTAATTCTGCAAGAGTTCTAATACTTGTCAGTTCAGTAAAAGCACTATACAAACTTATAACTGCTAGTGCTTTTGCTGTTACATGGTGCTGTATCGGCAGTTTCCCAGTACTTTTAATGTCAATGGAAATACCGGTATAAGTTATTTCACAAAAACGGGTGGGATAGCTATTGCTCATCAATGATAAATAGTTGAAGGTTCGATCTCTATAATGTCATTGTAAACACTTTTTCATATATAGAAGATGGGTGCTCCACTTTTTTTGTTGAGTTCACTGGCTAAATATGCTGCCTTAATGGGCACTAAAAGCCAAAAGATGCTTACTTATATTAGCACCGATAGTCACTACTAAGTAATGGGCAAACCTCTCTTGCTTGAGTGGGGCTCAGAGTGAAGTAGTCGACTAACAGACTACTTATTTCACAGTCTGTACCCTGCCTTTCTCCCCAGTGGGCGAGGCTTACAATCAGTGTTCCCTCTAAGCTGAGTTAGTGTGAGCCAGCTCACAGTTTTTTTAGCCTCCAGCTCACACTTTTTTGTCTTAGTTCAGGAAGGGGGACTCCAAAGCAAACTAATTTATGCAGTAGCCAAATCGCTTACTCACAACTTGAATGCCAGCAGCTCACAAAGTAGAATTTTTGCTCACAAGACTCCACAGCTTAGAGGGAGCATTGCTTACAATAATGTTCTTCCCTCCTCCACTTTATCCTCACAGCAATCCTGTAAGGTAGGTTAGCGAGGTTCTTGTGAACAAATACATATTTTTTGAACTCTCTTCAACTGCCAGAATTCACCCTTCAGAGGAGAAAATTAACCCTTTAAGAGGCTGCCTCCCGGAACTTTCCATTGCTTGGGAAACTGGAGGTATAAAACACCACCACAATCCAATTCCAGCTTCAACAAATCCCAGCTCCCAAGAGGAAAGGGGGGGGGGGAGAGACAGAGTCTCAAGACCATTCGACCGAGAGCACATTCGCCCACAGTCGCTCCTCGAAGCGCCCCTGCTTGTTTTTAGGGGTAGCCTAGTGGTATGCCACCATTATATCGTATGCGGCTGAAGCGCTCTTAGCAGCGTTAAGAATTCGCAGCCAAAACGACACCCCCGCGCCTCACCCCCCCCCCCCAAAGGATATTTTCGCGTGGACGTGAGAGACAGAAAGTGGACTCTCTTACGGGGTCGGGGGGGAGACAGAGAGAAAAAGGTTTAACTCACATGAAGAAAGCAGGAAAGGCATTTGTAAGAGTTGGGAAGAGAGGGAAAAGGGGGAGACACCAGATGAACCCTTGCCTCTTCTCTCCCCCCCCCCTCCGGCTAACTGGAAATACAGGGAAACAACAGGCTATGGGATTGGGGCAGTAGTACCATCACACACACCATTATAGGGCATTCTCCTTCCCCACCAAAGAAAGGAAGGGGGGGGGAGAATAACGAGGGAAATGGGGTGACAACAGATCCCCACAGACGTTGCCAGGGCCAAGGTGCTGACCTTTCCCGCAGCGAACGTAGCCATCTCGCCGCGTCCCCAGCCGAAGACAAAACCCCACCCGGCCCGCGCTTACGTACAGCAGCGGGTAAGGCAGCAACTGTAAAGCGGGCACCGTTAGAAGAAGGAAGGCGCGGGGGGATGGGGGGGGACTTTAAATCCCCTCAGGAATAGGAAGGGAGAGGAACTACATCTCCCATGGTGCCTTGGGTGCTCTCCGCAGTCTCTTGGTTTGGAGCGGGTGAAAAGGGAATCCTGGTGCAGTGGCGGGTTCCTCTGTGAGGTAAGAGCGCCGCGCGTGCGCAGAGGCTCGCTCCTCCCCTGTCAGAGGCTGCGGCCTGGTTCTCTCCCCTCCCCCTCCGTGTCTTTTGCTTCCCCGGGCAGGCCTAGCTCTCGCCCGGTTCGGTGGCCTTGGTTCGCTCCGTGTCGGTGTTTTTGTCGCCCGGAACAAAACTACCCTCTGTCACTTTCTCCTCCTGGCAGGCTCTGGGCCTTGCTTACCAGGCCGGCTCCTGGCGCCTGTTGTAGCCGAGCCCTCGGGCTCCCCGCACCCGGAGAGGATGTCTGATCAGACGGGCTTGGTGATGCCACAGACTATGGACAGGTAGAGGGGAAAAGAACCGGAGAAAGTGAAACGCGGTTGGGTAAAGGTGCGGGGCGTGTCTCAGTGCGACTCGTCTGGGCGAGTAAAAGCGGGAGAGGGCTGCAGAAGGGGATGGCCTGTGTGGGGTGTTCGTCTCCCGAAATACCCCACAGGTGGTGTAAAAGGAACTGTCGGGGCGGGATAGTCCCCAAAGGGGGAAGGAGGGAATGAGAAGGGAAGGGAGAATCGGAAGGAAACGACGAGGTTTCAGGGTTTAGGAGTGGTTGGCTGTTGTGTCGCTTGCGGGATGATACTGAAAAGTGAGGGCGGTGTGGGGCCCACTAATTGGCCAGCAACGTCCCACCCATTCGAAATCGCTTTCGTGTTCTCCGGAGATTACGAGGCGTTCGGAGGTTGGGTTTAATATGCTAAAAAGTAAATGGCCTGCCTGCGCACGTTCAGGTGTTCGCCGTTCTTAAGTGCGTCGTTAACCAGGAGGGGGGGTTTGGGGGACTCAGGAGGAATTGGGGGATGCTACTAAAATGTACGGGGGGGGGTCGTATAGTGTTTGTATAAGTGTTTTTCCTTTCACGCTTTGCGACTGGCCTTCAGCAATGAGGACTACGTACTAAACAGGCCCTAGGCCCTCTTTTTCAAACAGTGTTTCTTTGGTTCAGCAAAACAAAGAGTTTCGGTGTTCTGGCTTCCTGCTTAAGTCACATAGGAAGATGTGCAGAGGAAAAATAAAGTTTCGGTTAGTAACGTTGAAATCAAAGTCGGGATTAGATCTGGGGAAAACAAAGAGTGAAAGCTGCTTATCAGGTATTTGGTTGCTGGACAACCTGAGAGAGGATTTCTGTTCGTTCAGGATGTGAGCCTGCCTGGATGTTGCTCTGCTTAGAAAAAGAGTAACTGTAGTGGTTACGGTGTTGCACTAAGATCGGGAAGACATGATGAGTTCAAATCCCACTATGTCATACACTGAGTCCTCTATATATAGGTAGCCTCTCTCCAACCTTGAGCTCATCATTTTAACCTACTACACAAGATTGTTTTTATAATGTGGCGAGAGGATAACCATATATTCTGCCCTTCATTTATTGGACAAAGGGCAGACAATGATTTAATAAAATTTTTTAAAATGGAAAACTGCGCTCCCTCCATTCCAGAAACTCCAGTCCAGTTAATCAGCTATGCCTTCAGAATCAATAGTGTCTGTGTTAGGTTGTGTGGGTGGTTTTTTTCGGAGGGGGGTCATATAGGTTGCTTGAAGACTTGCTGTAGCTATCAAACCAAAAATAAAACATATGTAGTATACACTTCAGTAGAACAGGAGCTCTGTAATCAGCATGCTTAGTTTTAGTTGTTCTGCCTGTTTGTTTATTGACTTCAGCGGTCATATGCCTTTCTTCTTGAGACTCAAGGCAGGTTACAAAGTTATAAGAACACTACAGTAAAAAAAACACCCCAGTATAATATATACAATGAACAGCATAATCAAACTGAATCACACAATTTAAGAACCATGTAATATAAACAATACAATACATCCAATACAATGTTATATAAACAATACAATACATCCAGTGGTCTGGATTTCACAAATTACATGATCCAGTAAACAATTAGAGAAAAATGAGATAAAGACAGTAAGCAATGCAATGTGAAGGTGGAGGAGGAAAAAAACTGGAAACAAAATGAAAAGCATACCTACTGCACTTAGACATTTGGCTGTTTTGGGCAGGAAACCTCCTGGTGGATGGGCCCTCTCACCCATCCTTGATTTTGGACATGTGGGAGCGCCAGGTTCTGTAAGGTGATACTCAGGTCACAGAAATTGTCTAGCGGTTAGATGTAAGTGTAACTTTTATACTAAATTCGAATGCGTTGTATTTGGAAGTATACTATTTTATATTTAAAAATTTTATATTAGTTTTTAATTTTCTGGAAAGCATTATCTGTAACACACACACATATATATATCTGTAAGCATATCTGGTCTAAGGACTGTAATAGAAATAAACTACTGACATGTGGGAGCTGGAAATTACAATGCATTGACATCACTTCCGCATAAGAACCGCATAAGAACCTGTCAGTGCATCAGGTAACATTCTGGCATTGAAGTCCAGAGTATCACCTGGCACGCTGATGTCATATCAGGGTTTTCATATCAGTGAAAATGTTTTTTGATTGATATATATTTTTAAAAAACAGGAAAAATAGAACAGCAAAGGAAAAAACTCAAAATTCAGTAACTAAATAGAATTTTTTAAAGTGAAGTAATGTTGATACATTGTTTTCCTTCAATCACTTTATTGTTTTCACCTTTATGGCTGTAGGTGTGACTTACTAGCAGCAGATGGGGTAGTGATCCATTAACATCCTGACAGCTCCTATTTCACCCTCCCCTTCTGCTAGCTATCCTTTTTTTTGGCCCCCCCAAGGGGATTTTTTTATTGCATTTAAGGACTGCAAACTACAATGAAAATAGGGGAGGGGAACTACATTTAAGGATAAAGAAAAGATAACCACTACTAACTAAAAACCCAAGAGAGGAGATCATCAAATTAGCTTGTACACAGTGCCATCCCTTAAAACGCTAACAATTTTATGAACTTAGTCAGATATGCTAATATAACTTCTAAATCTTAAATTTAGCTGTTGGAAAAAGACCCCTAAGCATCTCAATATTAACAACAGTATTTTCAAAGGCACAATTCAGAGTCCTTCAGCCTTCATTTTTTCTTATCCTGTCTTTTCCGCAATTTATAAGGACTTTTAGGAGCTGCTGCCCCTTTCTCAGACAGAGAGTCCTCTCCAGAAGACCCCGAGTCCAGCTCGCCACTGGACTTACTGTCCTTTTCCTCTTTATCCACCTCCTCTGGCTCACCCAACTGGATTCTCAGAAAGTCCCGTTGTGACGTCCTCCTTATTAGGGAGGACTGGTTTTACTTTAAAAGTGTTCTTTATTTCCTTCTACTAGGTATATCCGGCTGCCACCAGGAAATTTAAGGCTTTCCAAACCTTTATACTATACTGTTGCTCTTACTATTTTGGTAGACCGAGTACAAGGCTTACGAGGAACTATGTGGTCCTGAGAAAGTATTTCTTTCAGAGCTGGTATATTTGAATAAAAGAGGATTTATTGAAATCATAAATAAAAGGGTAGAACAAGGTATCTAATAATGTGTAATTAATGAACCATTGCTTGGTGTATCACACACAATATGCTCCCTTACTGACAGGGATCTTTCAGGTAACTTTGTAACACTTTAACTCAAGGTCATATATTTTCACTGTTTCTCTCCAGTTTATCAGGACATACAGCCTTTCTTATAACTTGTCTTCAATTAAACGTTCATTTACTTTTTCCTATTCTCTCAGCCTTCCTTCTGTTTCTCACTGAACTAACTTATACCATACAGGACTGTTCTCACTCCTTTCATACACAGAGAGCTAACTGCTTGTCTAACTCATTCCCCACACAGAACTAACTGAACTTATCAACTGTCAACATGTAACTGTAAAACCTGACTGACATACATACTCATCCACTCATTTTCACTTCCAAACCCCCTCCCCCTCTCTGTCAACCACCAATCATACCACGCTTGCTTCTCTCAACCACTCTAGTCTACTTACCACCGCCATGCAACCAAACTTTTAAAGAGACACGCACATAAAACAAGGAATCATTACACCCGTGCTTTGGAAACAGAGTCAATCTTTTCTTTTTTGTCCTGAAGTTTGAAGGTTACGTCCTCTGGATATAACCACCGGTAGCTAATTGCATTTGTTTGAAGAAAAGGAATTAAATCTTTATATTTCTTTCTCCTTTGTCTTATTTCAAATGGGATATCTTTCAGAATCCTGATAGTACTGTCCCCAATTTTCAAGGGTGTCCCCGCCGTCGCTCTCAGGATACAATTCCTCACGTGCCTCTTCGAGAATCTCATTACTATTTCCCCAGGCAGATTATTCTTCTTTATGTATATGGAATAGGACCTGTAGGCCACATCCATTTCGCTCATGAGATAGTCCGCCTTCAAATCTGTCACTGGGGCCAATGCTTCGCTCATCATTTGCTTCAGATTCTCACCCTTAGTCTCTGGGACACCTTGGAAATGAAGGACCAGGTTTGCCTTCTCCATTTGTAATTGTAACAGCTGTTCTTCTGTTGAAATTTGCTTCTTTTCCAATTTTTGTACCTTCACCATTTGAGCAGTGGCGTCAACTTTCACTTTCTCGTTTGTTCCGTAATTTTAAGAGTCTCGTTCAATTGTGTCTGCTGAGTAGTTTTACATTGGTTCATTGTTGACAGCTGTTCCTTGAGATTAGTCATCTGATCCAGCAGGGGGCGCAGGGACTCTGCCAACGTTTTGACCAACTCGGTGGTTCCTTCTGGTCGTGGACTCTCAGCTACTTTCGCTTTTAAAAGTTTCTCCTTCTCCGTCCTCTTTCCCGCCATCTTTATGAGTTGTTTACTTTCGCAAAGATTAGCAAAGTCTCTGAATATGTGCTCAAACGCTCATACACGCCTTGGTAAGTCTTTCCCAACAGGTTTAGTCGCTTTTGTTTCTGCTCCCCCCCCCGGTCTCCCTTTTAAGTTTATGCGCATGGGAGGGGCCCCTCCCCCACTCGCTTTACTTTCTAGTCCCTGGGGTAGGGAGCTTTCTTTTTGAATTGCAAATATGCCTTAATCTGACTCACAGTTCATCTTTGGTCATACGACCTCGTTTAGCCTCCATTTTAACCGCTTGATCTCCAGCGCTTGCCCTGGTCAGCGTCGCTTCTTTCATTCGGACACTCAGCAGGAGGACCATCGGAATGGAGAAGCGCCCCGATTCCACAGCATTGCGTTGGCGAAGAGGCGACCTTTCAAAAGTCTCCTGGCTAGGAGCCTTTCAGCCAGGCTCCGTGGGAGGTAGCAATTCCTCGGCCCCCCCCCTTTCTGCTGGCGCACAGCTTTCACCCCCCTGGAGGTCCGGGAGGTGAGTCTGCTCAGTGCGCCGCCATAG